GGATATCTTTCAGATCCTAAAACTGAAATGGGTAAGCCCACTGTACTCTGGGTTCTGCCTGGATGCACGGGCCCATTATTAAAACCATTACCAACCCAGCCAACCTTCCACATTTAAAACAACGGTGGACACATTCTTTGTCCTTCATTGGTACAACCACCTAGCATCTATCTTTATTCCTTCTTTAGGACTGAAGGATGTCATTTAATAAGCACATAATCAAAGCCCTAACTAACACTCAAAATAGCATTTCTCTATTAAATAATGAAGTAACACAATGTGTAAAGCAGTTTTACAAAACAGAATGCAGGAGATGTGTTAACCGCTGCACAAGGTAGAATTTGTGCTATGATAAAAACAGAAGGCTGTGTATACGTTCCAGATTATCACAATAATATTTCTGGGTTTCTACCTGACCTGAGTACTCAAAGAGGCGCTTTAACAATCCCTCTCTTTCCTTTAGTGATGATTGGACTCCTGGACTGTAAGATTATTTGTCAACTATGAAATCACTCTTATTTGGGCTTCTTTCTTCTTTCTTCCTTTCCCTTCTTTCTTCTTTGTTACAATAATTATGCTTTGCTCTTTTCTGCCATGTCTCTCCACCTGGTGCCGAGACTCCTTCACTGCCATTAGGTCAAGCCAACAGATGATCCTTTCCACTAGGGGAGTTCCATACATGTGGTCTCCCTTGGATTCAGCAGCCTCTGCCTTTTGTAACTCCTATATATGTAAGTCCCCAACTGACCAAACTAGACCCATCGGTAGAGACATCTCTACACCCCCACTGAGCAGGATGAAGTTACAGGAGATAAGACCTTCCACCCTCAGCAACTCTAAGATTTAAGGGTCACAACTGCTCAGGGGGAAATGATGTGGAGAATGAACGCAAAAGAAAAATTACAACCTACAATTCCATTGGCAACCTACAAATTCCTTACAACCTACAAACCATTGGCAAGTCCTTAAGACAGGCAGAGTGACAGTCCTCTAGGGACTCACCGCCCTGATGTTAATACTTTACTAAGGGCAAAAGGCAACCTTAGCTTAATATTAGCCCTACTTCCATGATCCTGTCAGTCTCCTTTAACATATAAAAATCCCTTAGGAAACTTCCTTTAATTCTACCCCCCAAAATATGTATTAACAATCATCCTCCAAGCCTATGGCTCACTGGTATACACCTGAAGGGTCTCAGAACTAAGGTTTTACTAGACAGTAATAAATGACTTTTTCTAATAACAGCTAGTCCCTCAAGGTCCTTAAAACTTTGATACCAAATTCCTTAGAGACTTAGGCTATCCCTAATTGCCTCTCAACTTGAAAATATATAACCAGCCACTCCTCACATCCCCAGTGCAGCTTGTTCTGCCCCTGGGTCCTGTCCCTGTGCTTTGATAAAACTACCCTCTTTGCTCTAAAGATGATTCCAAGCTCTTTCTTGACCATTAGCCTCCAGACCCCATTTCACATTATTCCTACCTGGAACCGTGCTGGCCTTCGGACCAACTCCTTTTGAAAACCAGCCTGTTCCTGTTGAAAGAGTGGTTTTTAGGAATTTCTCTTTTTGTTCTAAAGAAAAAGCTTAGAAATGGGATCCCAGCCATCAAAATGCTTTGTCCCCATTCTGTGGTGCCCTCTGGTGTTGTGTTTAAAAACTATGGTCTCCTCGCATGCATTTCTAACTAAATGGACTAAATACAAGAACTTAGAAAATGGTCCTTATGGGGAACTTTTGATGTCCCCAAATTGACTCTTAATCAAAACTGAATTGAACAGCCATGGCTCTACAGTTGTCAAAACCAGATAGGATGCCTACTTCAATGGGTATTTTGAAGCTTCCAAACACTATCAGGACCTCATGCTGCTTCTCTGCAAAACACTACTTCTAAATTAACAGAGGCAAACCTTTGAAAGGTATCAAAATGGCTTCTGATCCTCTTTGTCCCTCCTCCATCTTGTCTCCAGAGAATTGTAACCACTTGGTGTGCAGACCAGGCCTCCAGGGCCCTCTTCCTCTCTTCCCTCTGCCCCATCCCTGCCTCCTGTGTACCCCCTCCTTCTAATCCTTTCTCTGAAGGTCCCTTTTCCTCTGATTCTCTCCCCAGTCCTTCCTCTCCTGAACCTGTTAAGACAGGCTCATTTGGGGATCCAAATAAACCTCAATTTCCTGCATTCCCTGGATTGCAGGAATTCAATTCCCTGAATTCAAGACTGAACTGTGAGCCAGAGTCAGCATTTCCCAACGTGACTGAGGATCCCTATAGGTGTGCTTAAGAATTTAATAGTTATTCAAACTTATCAATCTGGTTCTCAGATTTACAGCAATTAGCTCACATGCTTGTTGGTGAGGGCCAGGCCAAACACTGGATGAATGTGGCCTGATAGGAACATCTTAAAAAGTATTAGGGAAACAGCACATTTATGCAGGAATGTAGTAAACTCCCTGGAAATACTATTGAACAATTATACTATCTTCGCTTAAGCCTGTTGAGTGGAACAAAATTCAGACTTGCACACAAAAACCTGATGGGCCTTTTCATGATGATTACAACTGACTCCAAATGGTCTTTAAAGAAAATTCTCTATTTTCAGTTACAGCATATGGAACAGTTTTAAAAACCTGTACTTTCTGCTATTATTGCAAAGAGCCAGGATATCAAAGAAAGCTTGTTACACACATAAGCACTCCGGCTGGATGTTCCAACATTCTCCACATTCCCAAAGACAGGGCTCTAAGGAACTATAGGGGCTCTTCCCAGGGCTCCCTCTTAATCAACTTGTGGAACCACCTCCACATTGGGAATGAGTCTCTGTCCTTGTTGACAGTAGAACTACACTCCTGGTGGCCAACTCCCTGATGGAAAGCAGCCCCTGCCCACAAGGACTAAAACAGCTCCAACAGTGGGGGCCTCTTAAAAATCTCCACAGGTTCCTGTCTCTCAGCCTATTCTTTTCGTCTAGGCCCTTGGAGAGATACCTTCTCCTTAGTTACTTCTCCTCTATTCGTGTGTGCACCTGACATCTCTTAGAAAAGTATCATGCCAGAATTTGATTCCCTCAAACGGGCAAATAATTCCAGAATTTGGCAGCAGTGATCAAAATAATCCACCAGGGGAAGTACACGACCCCATGGCCTCTTTTCTACACTCGGTCTCTGATGGCACCATAGCAGAGCCTGGGAACACTGGTCGTTGGTTCCTGTTGGATCATCTACCTTGTTCTTTATGGGCAACATGTTCAACTGATATTGGCAGAATCCACAGTGTACCTCATCAAGATAAAACTGTATTTTTCAAAACCTCTTGGCAGAATGAGACAATACTGTATGAAGAAGCCCTTCAGGGGATCAAGCCCATGATAGAAGTTTAAAAGCCTCAGTGTCTCACGATCCCCTCTGCTAAGCCCTGTAACACCATTTCCCTCCTGAGAAAACCCAATGGCTGACAATGGACGTCTGTCTAGAACCTCTCAGCAATAAATAACATTTTCATCCCTCCACACTCTTGTTCCTAACCCCATACCCTACTGACATCTATTACCACTAGAGGAGATTTTTCATGGTAATTCATCTATGCAGTGGATTTGGTATTCCAGTTGATAAGTGTAGCGAGTTTTTGCTTTCACTTGGGTAATACCCATGGACAGTCATATCGCAGGGAATCACAGAAAGTCTTTTGTACTTTTCACAAACCCCTAAGGCAGCTCTGGATGACAGAGTTTTCTGCATCTCTACTTTGTTATACTAGGGAGATAATTTCATTCTCTGCCTCCCTTCAATGGAAGGCATCATCTACTTGTTAAAACTTTTGGCTTTAAAGGGACATAAAGTCTCAAAAAATTACATTTTGCTTAAACTCAAGATAAATACTTACGGCATCTGATCTTGGAACCAGAGCACACTGGGATACAGACAAAACCCCTCATGACTTAATGCCGACACATCATGTTTTGAGTCCCTGTGGCATTTTACATGTCACTCTTCTAAGGAAGAAAGTTTTTTTCATAGTTTACTAGTGGGTATTTTTAAAAGGATGAAAGTGGTAAATATTATCTTGGGTGTGCTACTGCAAATCCGTTTTCTTTTTAAGATGTTATTTTATTATTTATTTTACATGATCTCTACACAGAATGTGGGGCTCAAACCCACAACGCCAAGACCAAGAGTTGCACAATCCACTGACCTAGTCATCCAAGCACCCTGCAAATTCTTTTGAAGGTACTGAGACAGCAATACTTTTCCATTTGATGTCCAACCCAATAGGATGAGTTACACACCCTACTTTTGCCAAGGGTAAAACCACAAACATTTAGTCCAACTGGTACGCCTTTGGGGTAGCTCAGGACTATGGAATATTATGGAAATAATGAAATGTTGTTAGATCCAATATGGATAAAACTGAAGAGGCTCCTATGTCTAAAATTTACCATATGCCGTATTTTGGCAGGAGTTCTGGCTGATATTAATGGCACTATGCACACCAGACCTGACCTCCTGGGGCCAAAAACAGCACCTCATTGATACTTCTACCACAATCACTGATCACAAAAAAAATAAGCAATCCAGAGTCATGGTCAAAAGGCATGTTCTTCCAAATCACATTTAGAACAAAATCGACCAAAGACACCAAAATGACTCTCAGAAAAGATAAACCAACGTCAGAAATTTAACTTTTCATTCAATAAAAAGAGAAAATTTACTTGAAAACATGTGTTTCAATAATGAAGACTGAAATGTGCAGGTGATAGAGAGTCAGGAAATTCCTGTATCTGCAAAAGACAACAGAAAAGAACTTTTTTTTTTTTAAGATTTTATTTATTTATTTGAGAGAGAGAATGAGAGAGAGAGAGAG